TTATAATTATTCTAAAATAATAATCGATCATGTATATATGTATGTATATATTTCTCGAAGCTAGGAGGGGGACTATGTGTAAGGTTTACAACTGAACCACACATTTACAACTTTATATAATCGATGTCGACTCAACCTACAAAGAAAAGAATTTGAGTTGAATTTTCATCGCCTATTTTTATGCGGTATTATATTATATTAAATATACGCTCGAAAAAAGTACCTTTAAACATTTGCTATACAAAGAAAAGTATTTCAATATAAAGATAACCAGCCGGCCTAAGTTTTACGATTTTATCTCAGCTTTCTAATGAGGTATGCGTTAAACTAATTGAATTGTTTTTATATTGCTACAAAAGGTAAATTTTTAAAATCAAATAATTTTTGGTTTTCTCACGTACCTGAGGATTTGAGAATGGCTTTAAGAACGGTATTTTGGAATGTTTTGATAATTTTCATATTGTAAAAATAATTTTGCTTGGAAGCGAAATATTTTTGAACAGGTTCTTTTCAATGAAGTTTTGTATCTAGAGGACTAGATACTAGAGTACGGTATCTGTATTCCATTTATGTAGAGAGGCAAATCACGTAATGTCTTATTAGTGAAGTCAATAGGGACAGATTTCGTATTATTTAGTTTTATATAGTAATATTTATTTCTGATATGCTGATCGAAGACAGGTGCTCAAATCAACGAAATTAACTTAAATACCCGTGATGCATTTAAAAGACCTGAATCTTAAGCAAAAATTGCTTCGACTCAAGAATACGAGTGTGTTCAAAAAATATCAGGAATTTTCGTTTTTTGAAAAAAATATTTGATCATTTGTCTACATACAATAATGTTGTCGCCTTTAAGACTCTCTTTATTTTTGGAATTAGGAAAAGGCCACACGGAGCCATGTCTGGTGAATATGACTGGGGCATCATTAAAGTATTGTTTTTGGAGCAGGTGCACGATAACGTGGTGCAAAAGCCGTTTGTTTTTCCACAAATACGGTTGTTTTTTCAGATTGCTTTACGCAAACGACGTTGAACTTGTAGGTAGTATCCCTTATCATCATTTGACCTTGAGGCAAGAATACGTACAGCACTAGGCCACTAATGTCGAAGAACACAGTAAAAATAAGCCTCGCGAACCTTCGTTAACCTTCGAGCGCACTGGTCGAACATTTTTCGGTCTGGGCGAGACAGGATGCTTTCACTGAGACAATTTAGCCTTAGTTTCAACGTCATATCCGTAAACCCTTATTTCGTCACCTGTTATAATACGTTTCAGTAATTCTGCATCGTTGTTGACTTCATTTAGTGCTTCTTAAGCAGCTTCCATTCGCCGCTTTGTGTTCTAAAATCAGCAATTTTGGAACAAATTTTGCTGCCACACGTTCGAAAAAATCCCATGGCATTAAACAATCGATATTTTAACATCATGAGCGTCTGTGCTTGTGATTCGGTGTTCATTCGTAACCATTGCTTTCACTTTTTCTACGTTTTTAACTAGTTGTTGATGTACTGGGACGGCAAGAGCGCTCGTCATTTTCAACGTCTTCACGGCCATCTTCGAAACGCTTATACCACTCGTAAACTTTTGTTTTAGTCATAATGACTCACCATTGGCCTTTGTTAACATTTCACACAAATCCTCATTAAAACACGTCTAAACTCTTTTTTGGATAATGATCCAAGCACAATAATATCTGCCTTAACTGGTTAATTTTCTATATTTATATTTATATTATATTTTTAGTGAATTTGAGCTCCATGCATTTAATTTCATGAAAACTGATATATGTACTTCCATTCAAATTTTTCACGAGCTAGCTCTTCGAAGCAATTCGACAACCTCCAGTAAAACCATACCGAGGGCTATTAACTTAGAATTGTAACGGACGACATTATGTTAACTCCGAACGGGCGTTACATTTGCTCAGTTCGTTCAACAGCAATGTACCTAAATATAAGCAAATTTATCAAAGGGAACACATATGTATGTACATAATTGAATCTGGTGGATTACTCAACCGAGAGCATTCAAATTGCACTTTGCTCGCCCTGATCGGTTGTGTACGAGTATTTTGGGAAAGTTTGTCATTTGCAAAACAAATGCACACACCTCACTGCATGATGCCAAATAACAGTACAAGTATAAATACAGGCAGCCATATGCAGATGTGGGTGTGACGCAGACTTGCTTTGACTGTTCAATAATTCCAATTTCCGCAATGAATTTGACAGTTATTCGCACAGACACTTGTTAGCTTACACTGCTTAGATATACTTACATACGTATATATACTCGTACTTATATATAGCTATAGATATGCACGCATGTGTATATACCATATTTGGAATGTGTGTTGACAGCGTTGTAGTGTCAGTTGTGATGTGTGAAATATGTCATAGTCATTGCTGAACGCAAAAGAAGAAGCATCAGTTGGCGAACCTTTTTGTAAACTTTTAATTACTTTTTCGTTGGAGTTTCTAAGTTTGACGATTGTGTGCGCTCATGAATGAAATCATACATCGAATATTTCACAGATAACATGCACGTTGGATAGAGTGGTCGGGCTAAAAGTTGCGGGAGGGTTGAGGTTGAATAGGCGATCGACTTAACGTTTACATTGAGCTTATGCAACTTGGTAAAAAAACTTCGTAAAACTAGGAATACTACAGCGAACCCTTCAAGATGGATAGATAACAAGTAAGTAGGGACTCAGTTCGGGTGTAACTTGTCTACTTATTTTCATTAAAATATCACACATATTGACCGCCAGAAATGACTGAATCGGGTATATTAGGGCTAGAAGAAGGCCTTGGCATTACATTTCGACATTACTCAGGTATACTCGAGAACATGTTTCTCCGCAAATTTTCGAAGATAAACTCATACAATGACCGATATATTCGGTATAAAGACTGCTAGAGTAACGAAAGCATTATATGTAGACATCAGAGCTGTAATAGTTCATGAGCTGATTTTCGGCATTTAACTGTTCTATGTACAATATCATACGTTCAAATTTGCTAAAATAGCTTACATATGGACCGAAATATGCGGTATAAAGCAAACAGGAAGTTTGAAATTTTAATATTATGGGGTTGGGGTCTGCGCTTAGTATTTACCTGATTTTATTCATTACGACGTAGCATTACCAAAAAAATTGCTCTTTGAGTTTCATTCAGATACCTCAAAGATTCTTTTTCATTTTCTTTGGCACTACAATCGTGGATTGGTCGGGGTCGAGAACACAAACCTTCGACAGTTTCCTCTGTCCTTTGCAAGGTCAAGCCACTTGTACAACAAAAGTGCAGACAAGTCGCAATGCATTTGATTCTCCCATTGGATGTGGTCTCAAATCGAAAGAACTTTTCATCATCTCATCTCGGTTTGTCAGAGAGGGATCTGATTCTTAATAGCCTACTGATCCCAAATTAGCATCTGTGGGCAAGAGTTATGTTGCGCTTGATCTCCAGACTTATAATATTGGTGGAATTTATGCTGGTTTCGAGATATATAAAGTCTTTAAACTTTTCAAATGTATAGTTCCCAACAGTGACGTAGTTCTCAAGGCGCGAGGAATATTTTTGTGTGGGCTCCAAATACTTTGTCTTGACCTCGATCGTCATTCTGCACAGCCGAATGAATTTTGCAGGGATACCAAATTTAGACATTGTGTCGAATATGCAGCTCCTGTCAATACTGTCAAAAATGGTATTGAGATCGACAAAAAATGATGAGTGTCGATCTGTTTGTCAAAGGTCTTCCCGAGTATTTGACGTATTGTGAAAATCTGGTCTATGGTGGTTTCCCTAGGTCCAATCAATTTATTTACAATGGGCTTAGGCCTTGTACACAGTACTGTCGAATAAACCTTATATGCAATGTTAAGGAGGCTGATCCCGCGATAATTAGTGCAGACTGCGGCATCTCGCTTTTTGTGGAGGGCACTCATATTCCAATCACTGGGCATGTATTCATCCGACCATAACATGCTTAGCAGCTGGAACGTGTGGCTTTCTAGCTCCTCGCCACCGCTGATCTACGCCCTTAGCTGTACTCAAACGTGGGCGTACCTTGGCTGCACTTCGGATCGAACGTACATCTAGCACACTGGAAACGTGCCTACAGTCTATCACAAGGTGATCAATTTGGTTGTGCGTATTTTATTAAAAAATTGTGAAGTCAATCAGGTGTTTGAAAAAATTTCTATTAGGTATTTGTAAGCTGGGAGAAGTATTCACCCGATTATACTCATTTATATACACAACTATTATCTTCGAATTTCAGTAATAGATCTCACTGACTAACCTACATTTTTTGTAAAAAGACAGCAATTTGCATACAAATTCACGTATTCGGTATTTGGGGTTTAAAAAGCTGTGGATGGATTTTAACAATTTTTAGATGTGTTTTATTTCAATAACGTCGCTGACTCCCTTTTTATATCCTTTAAAGTTAAAGAATTGATAGAGTTTAAAATTGTGATATTTGGAAAGTAGACGTGGTTGTAGTCCGATAGCACCCTGTCGAAGGAGATAGCGGAAATATTTGTCTTGAGACATTCGGTTGAGCTCTTCTTGTTTGTGAGTTTTTAAATTATAGGAGCGTGGCACGTCCAGTTTTTAAAAGTTTTTACCCTATCGTAATTCGCTGTACTTAATTACACATCTCTATCCTAATTTGTATATTCGGTATAGCTTCTTATATGTTTTCAATTGACAGCATTTTGCGGGCGTGGCAGTGGTCCGATTCCCACGATTTAACCCGTCTCATCAATCTGTAATATTACTATATATTTATATAGCAATATAACTCTATAAATATTATATTTCATTAGTTTCAGAAGTTACAAACAACCGTTAGGCGAACAAGACTATAAAAAAAATTTTCTAATATGCATTTCAACGATAGTTATGCTGATATTGTATAGCCCGAAGCCTTTTCTTCTCTAATCGCCGTTACTCGAAAAATATAAGATCTTAAGCATTTAAATTTAGCTCAAAAGAGTTCCACGTTTTCCACTAAACACCATACAGCGTTTATTTCTTATTGATAACAATATAAGACATATTTATAAGCCTAAGTATATATAAATTTGGTATTTGAACTGGCTAAAATCGGACCATATTTTATGATAGACCTCATATAACGAAGTTGCTGACTGCGGTAATTTAGTTTAATTGTAAAGCCGAAAATGGTAAAAATTCGTCTTCCCATATTTAATACGTAATGATTTTCAATATTTAATCTTTCTTAAACATATATTCTTGAAAACTTAGTCAATTCCTTTTTCAGAAGTGTTGAGCATTCCCCTGAACCGCAGTATTATATTTATACAACTACAACTATTAGAATGTTTTTAAGTAATAGGATATGAAAGTAAACTCACCATAATTTTTAAGGCAATTCTGCCACGAAAGCCGCAAAAGAAATGAAGCTAATTACAACACATTTTGCCTTTTCCGCAAGCCCCACACCAGCGCCACTGCACAGCCCGGGAGCAAGAGGCTAATTTCGCCTATAAAAAGTAAATCATGGATGAACATTTCATGAAAATTCCATTCATTCAAAAATACGGACAGCGGAAAAGTTTCTTGTAAACAAACCATAAATGCCGGCTGCAAGCAATCGCATTCGTTAGGTGTGAATGCAACTAATGAAGGTCATAAAATAGCCAAGCGAAGAAGACGACTGCGAGGGAGGATGGGAAAACTGAGGAACGGTGAGGAAAGTTAAGCAAAGATTTTGCGCCAACTTTTGCGATGAATGATGAAGGTGGATGAATGTTTCTTGCTCTCTTTTCGACTATGTAAATGGTGGAGGATGGTCGGCGAGGTAGTCAGACTCGCGCACGACATCGTAACAGAGATGATGATGACAAATAAAAAAGAATAATTGCATGATATAAAATGCGCAAAACGGATTTACATTTTAAATTTTTTTATGAGTTTGTCATTTTCAGAGATTTTTTGCGCTTCTTTGTTTTAAATCAGTGCCTGCAATTTTCCCTCCTGACAAAATGCACAATGGGCATGTAAGATAACAAGAAATCTGACCGAAAATGGCTTGACGGAGGATGTGAGAAAAAAACCCGCCAAAAAAGAACGGAATGAGTGTAAAAAATGTAAGAACTTTTTTCAGCGTTTTGGAGATTTTTGTGCAAAACCAGCGTGGGAGCATGAAAATAATGGCCGAGACAATTTTTTATGACAATCGCATTGGCTTTGTTTTTATGCAAAAGTCGTCGTTGTTGTTTTTGCTGTGTTTGCTCCAATTTCTATTTCGTCGCTTTGGCCCTATAATGCATTTTTTTTGGTTTATTGTCAATTTTTTACTCCCATTTTGTCGGCCGTAAAATGGCGCTGTGCTGGCAGCTCAGCTGACTAATGTTCTAAAGTTGCCAAAAACAAAAACAACATCTACGACTAGTTTTACAATCGCGCACTTACCCGTCCGCAGAAATGCACGCCTCTGCCATCAAGTGCCCTCACATGCTTTCCAATGTGTGTGTGCGAAAGTGTGCCTCTGTAACTCCGCTTGGCGCCCAAGCGTGTGGATTCCTTCTTACGCCGCGCACTTGCATTTCACGCTAACGGTATATTTAGCTTTAAAACAACTAGAATTTCAATGTGCACTTTTTATGTCCTACTTTTGCAGCAGTTAAGGTATAATCAGTTTGTGAAATATGGAAAGGTTATACCTTTGTAATGTAATACACATACATATGTATGCATATCGAAGTTAGACCAAGTCTTATATAAAGTATTTGATTTCAAGTAAAAATCTGATCGACTCCTCGATATCCTAAGTCAACTAAAGAAACTCAAAATGTCCACTTTAACTAAATTGAAAATGTAAGCTACTTTATCATATTGACCGAGATATTGTCGATTCTGAGTGCGTACGATTAGATAGCTAATATTATAAATATATATATATTGCTTCCTGTTTCCGCTTTACGGTGTGAAAATCTTGCGCATTAAGGCGAAATTTCAAGTTCGGGACCATTCGGTTCAGTCACCGTGTATTAAGCTAATTTTGATTACTTTCAAATTTTCAAACTTTCAATTACATCTACCTTTCAACCAGTATGCCGGGTATAACTGTACTTTCGCCAAATAGTATTTCAAACCCTTGTCAGTATTTTTTCCATCCAACTGCATTTTCCTTTTCGAGTGTCAGTTTCGTTTTCTTTTGAATCTCGGTTTGCATTTTTCCGTTTCCTCTTTGCTATTTTTTTCGCCGCTTCTCCTTTAATATTTATTTGCTTGTTTGTTGGCAAAGTTGTCAAAAAGTTAGGCTTGGTCGTGGCTGACTCTTGTTTCGCCGGGACCAAGTTTCTTTGCCAGCCATTTCAGCTCGGCAATACCAGCGCCACTGATTAAGGAAGTTTTCCCCATTTCGTGTTGCGGGTCATTTTACAAAATTTCATCAAATTATTTTCTTTTATTTGTGCATTTATTGCAGGCTCCATCAGTTTGTTTCAGTCCTCTATTTCATACCGCTTGTTTGCTTGAATTTCGTGAAGTATGACAGTTTTGAATTTGGAGTTAGTTCCTTTCATACTTTCTCTGTGTAACGTTATTTTTTACATTTTAAAGTTTCATTAGGCTTCATATTGCAATATTTCTCTTTCACTGCTGAAGCACCAATTTCTTAGACCACTTCAGTGGGTGACTCGCGAGAGTTAGAAAAACGAAGCTGAAGTTTCAAGTTTGGGAAACTTGTCGTAAACCATGACAGACGTGATTAGGCTATCACTGAAATTTGATAGATTTGTTTTGACTGAAAATCTGAAAACTAAAAAAAAATTTTATACGAGTAGAAGCGAACACTAGAGACACGAGTACTATGTATATATGTATATATGTACATATACAAATATAAATAAAACAGGCAGTGAGTAACCGTTCTATGTAATGCAGTCACTGCTATTATTTGGACGACAGTTGTATGTAACAAAAACAAAAACAAAAGATTAACTTCGGCTGTACCGAAACAAAGTTCAAGTTCTTACGAGGACTTGATTTTAATGGACCAATTTGTATGACAGCCGTAAGCTATAGTGGCCCGATCTTCACACATTATAACGTTGCCCTGGACAATAATCTATGTCAAATTTCATAAAAATATCTCGTCCACTACCAATACCAACCAGACTTTGAGAGAGTGAAATATACGCGCTTTAAGAATTATTTTTCTTTTCTGACCAGGAAGCTGCCTATTCGTTGGAATCGCCGATATCTCCTCACACTTTCTGCTTTATCACTTAAACTGTAGTTATTATTTAGCCACACCTGGTGTTTTACTTTCTTTAAGCATGTGCTTGAGTGAATTTGTAATACAAATGAATAGATAGTTGGTGCATTTAGCTGCATAGTTTTAAGCGCATTGAAGTAATGTAAAAAGAGATGGAGACAGACCACAGCTCGCAGTGTATACTTTATAATAAATCTAATCTATCCCTATGGTTTAAAAATCGAATCTCTATTCAATCAAGAATGAATTACAAAACAAAAGAGTAAGAGATTATATTACAAGATGCGTTCTAAAGTAAACAGTAAAAAAGTAACAAATTAAACTCTAGTGGTCATCTATATATCGACTAGTGCCTTAGAATCTGCTATCCTTTATCGACTTCCCTTAAAAATTTCATGACATTTCTTCTGTTGGAAGTGAAGTTATTGCATTTTAAGTGTCAGTATGTTTTTAACATCGGTGCGAAAATGAGTTTCGAACAAAGAGCCAACATTAAATTTTGTTTTAAAATTGATAAAACTTTTACCGAAACGTTTCAATTGATGAAACAAGTTTATGACGATGATTGCCTATCCCGTAGCAGAGTGCACGATTGGTTTCAACGTTTTCAAAGTGGTCGTGAGGACATAAATGGGAAATGAGCCGAAACACAAAAAAACCGCGCCTGGAGAAGTCAAAAGTGAAGACAATGCTGATTTGTTTTTATGATTCCAAGGGTATTGTCCACAAATAATTTGTTCCACCCGGCCAAAACGTTAATGCGGTATTCTACCTTGGAGTTTTGAAGCGTTTGGTGCGCCGTATTTGACATGTTCGGCCCGAATATCGCGAAGATGGAAGTTGGCGTTTGTTCCACGATAATGCGCCGTCTCATGGATCGACGCTTGTGGCCGATTATTTGACCAAAAATCACATTTTAACAATCAACCACTCCCCGAGAACTTGAATTTGATCGGTCAGTTTGTGTGGTTACTACATGCTATAGTGGTCAATTTCTTCGGAGACTGTTTTTCGCTCCACCCTAATATGATACTCCATTTGTATTTGTATTTCATTAAAAATTATAATATTATTCGAAGCTTTTTTTCACGTCTCAAACTTACATATATGGACCGAATTTTGATCGATCACTTTGTTTGACAGCTAAATGTTATAGTGCTCAGATACCGGCGGTTCCGACAAATGAGCAGGTTTACAGATCGATATCGATTATGAATTTTTAACGAGGTCTTAAATCACATTATAGATAACTACACGACAAGATTATATAATATATTAATTTTTAACAAATTTTTGATTTATACATAAATTTTCTGCAATTAAAAGTTTACGAGTCTTGCGATAAAAAAATGTTAAAATTCTAAAGTTCTCATATATGAAAAGTAATATTCAGAAAGTTGTAAATTTCATTTACATTTTCCAAATCTTCAATGTCCTCATCAGTTAAGCTAATATTCAAAATTCCAATACCAAAATATTAGATAATAATATTCTAAAGCACTTAAACTCTCCGACAAGCCGTAAAACATTAAACTCCATGAATTGGACTGCTGATTTTTGAGCTTCAACCTGAGCTCATCCGACAAACAGCAGCTCATATTTTAGATGACAAAGGCAAATGCCGTTCTTCCTTCTGCCACACCTCAGGCAGCACAAATACCAGCACAGTGGCACACACACGCAAATATTTGCACAAATCAATCGAGATGGCTTACTTGCAACGCATGCCGGCTGAATTTGAATCGACTCCAGTTATAGCAGCAGAGATAAGCCGGACTCACCACTTAATAGCAGCAACAATGCATGGGAGTAAAAAACACAAACTGTATATATTGTGCATTCGTAAAGGAAGTATCCAACGGTATATGCATATGTGTGTGCATGTGCATGCAGTTCGCTATGCTGCCAGAGAAATATAAATACAAGCTTAATCTTTCGAATATTTCAAATAAAATGGCAAATTCAAGCTAAAATATGTTTGCTGTGCAATGCGTTCGTCCAACACACACACACACTTATATAGAAATACAGATGCGTACATCAGCTGGCAGTCTCGGCGAATGTATGCCTGACGGCCAACGACATCGTTTGAACTGCTAGTAGTAGTTGTAGTTGTTGTGGTGGTAGTGGTAGGGAGCTGAGCAGCTGCAATAACAACTGAAAATGCAGTTCTAGCCGAATGGAAAATGCGGCGCAGCTGCAGCAGCAAATTGTTGATACGCCGCAATGCAAATTAACCACTCTGACGGCGTATTGACTTTGGCATCGGAATCGCAAATCGTTAGACAGAGCCGGTAGAGTCGATGGAACCGGCGTTGTACGCCAGTTGGCCTGCGGCTGAAATTTATGCAGCTACCATAAGGGCTGCGTCGATGACGACAACAATATTTGACAGTATCATCGCCGTGCGAAACTTTGCAAAAAGGAACACGGAATGGCGCAACAAAAGTCAAACAACATGATTATGCTATAAACAAAAACAACTGAAATTATCGGCATCAAAATGCATAAACAATACAAATAAAGGCAAATATTATACATATATGCGTAGTCATGACAGCAATTACAGCCAATGCAGACATAAACAACAACAATGACAGTGAAAGAAACACAAAAACAAAGCATGGTTGCATGCATGGAAAAGCGCTGCAAGCAGGCAAACATATGCAAACACACATATATGTATATGTGGATAATGGGGAGATCCATGAAAAATAATGAGTATGAAAACGCTTATGGAAGTAAAGTTCGCACTTCTAAGCTCTTTCAGTTGACAGAAGTGCTACTTAGTTAAGCAACCACGAAGGAGGGCATTCACGGAAAATTGGAATACATGTAAATACAAGTATTTCTAGTCAATGTCTAAAAAACATTTTTGATGCTTGTAACACAAGACATGACTTTGTAGGTGTAGATTAACAAAATTGCTTTGAAATATGCTTTAGTTTAATGCCAAACATAAACTAAATCAGACCAGAGCTTCGCCTAGCACCAATATGCCTAATAGAGTTATTTTTTCTTCGGATGTACTAAATCTTGCCATAAATTCTGTTACAAAGTTTACAACCCATATAGCGAAAATAAACTCTTAGAAAAAAGTGCCGTTATATCTTAATATAATATTATATAATTTGTGTTCAGTGTCTACTCTTACATAATAATCAGTTCAATGTTTGCTTTCGCTTATTAACAATGAAGTGGAGAGGTAAAAAAAATCGTATTGCGGTGATTGGAGCAAGTAAATTTTATGAGCTTCTTAAAAAAACTTAATATAACGAGAGTGTTCGTTTTGATGACAGAAAGAGGAGTGGTCGCTCTCGTATGATTCGATCCAATTAAGCCAAAAGAAAACTGAAAAGTGTGTCAAGAGAAATGGGTATATCGACCAGATCATGTCACGACTTATTAGAAATGATTTTTGCTTGAAAGTCTACTATCAACTCTATTTATCTGACAACGGTGCAGGCGGCTTCTTCAGTGGCATGCGGTCAACTGCCATGGAAGTATTCTTTTTACAGATGAAACAAGCTTTACAGTTGTGGATCTGGTGATGATGATGTTATGTATGAACTTTCCCTCAGTACTAACATAATGAATACGGCGATTTTTGTTAGGTAATATCTTAATATGTTTTATCAGATTAAAACCAAAATATATATGTGTTATACAATTTTGTAGACAATAAGAAATGTTACCTCTTACTCGAAATTTATAAGTGGTGAGAGTATTTTATATACCATAATGATTGGTTGAACCCGATTTTCTTACTATTTTTCTTACTATTTTTTAAAGTTCTATAAACTGCGTCTACTATATATAAAATCTTATCAAATTTTAATCAGACTATTAAAACCGATTCCGAAATTATTTTTCTTCTATTAATAAAAACCTTCAGCCAATGAATCCAATTTATCAAAGAAACAATGCGATCAATGATTTGCCATTCCTTCACTGAATTTATCTTTATGCCCGTCTAAAGACTTTTTTATACCTGAATACTGAACAGAATATATTAAGTTCGCCACGAAGTTTTTAACACATAGAAAAAAACATTGGAGATTTTATAAAATATGAATGATCAGCGTAATGAGCTAAATCGATTTAGCCATGTCCGTCCGTCTTTCTGTATATACGTAAACTAGCTCTTCAGTTTTTAAGAAATCGATTAGGAATTTTGCTCAAATTCTTTTCTTTCCCAGAATGCACTCACTTGTCGGAATCGGCGATATCGGACCACTATAGCATATACCTGCCGCTAACAGTGACCGATCAAACTAAAGCCCTTGTATGGAAAAATTTTTTAGTTGAGTCACGAAATATGGCATAGATTACAATCCAAAACAGTGCTACAGTCTCCGAACATATTGTTCAGATCAAATTCATACTGCATGAAGCTGCCATGTAATATGACTAATAAAATTCAGGATATTTTTATAACCTTTTAGGACGTAAGAAAATAGAGTGAGGTGATTTTACTCCGGTGGTTTAACAATGGGCCTCCCAAAGGTCCAGGTGCGTCGTCAGACAGCCATTCTCCTGAGAAGGGTACTATTTTTTATTTCTTTTGAAACATCGGATATT